TCACCATGTAAGTCCCATATTAATAAGTTTTCTACGATTTCTATCTTTCATTTCTGGAAAATTGTCAAACTAAGAAAACAATCCTGTCCAGGAGAGACATGGAAAACATACTCCATACATGTATCATTTCTATGGAAGAGGATTAGGGCCACTGGAAAGGAAAAAAAAAAAGTTAACTGATTTTTAAACTTAATTTCAGATTCATATGGGAAAAAAGTCTGAATTCTGTCTTTGATCTGACTTTTTTGCTAGAATTCTGACTTTCATCTTAAAATTCTGACTTTTTCACAGAATTCTGACATTAATCTCAAAATACCTTTTAATACGTTAATCTCAGAATTCGGACTTTTTTCTCAGTCAGAGAAAAAATCTAAATTCTGAGACATTGATCTCAGAATTTTGGATCTTAATGTAGATGGGCACCAGAAGAAAGAGATGTGAGAGCACTCAGCACACTAACAAAGATGTGAGTTGTTTGTGAGGCCCAGTAACACATTGGTGGAAAATGTAGGAATTAGGCAAATTTTTATGTGCCCAAGGGGTCCCTGGTGATGCTATTTAATTAATGGAGAGAGAGCTAGTCTCTAAAACAGACATAGCTACAGCTTGATGCTAACATGTTTGTTATGTAGCTGTCAGAACTCCATCAGAATTCTGAGAAAAAAGTCAGATTTCTGACTTTTTTCCCCATATTAAATGAAAATAATATTTAAAAAACATGTTTTTTTTTTCTTTTTTCTGTGGCCCTAATACTCTTCCATACATTTCAAAGCAGGTCTGTTGTAATTTTTTTATGTAATTAAGTTTGCAAAATTCGGTTAAAAGCTTCAGCTTATCCAAGACAAAGACAATAAAAAATAGAGATCATATCCGTCCTATTTTGCTTACTGTTAAATCTAGAATAGATCTTTTTTGCCTGTGGTCTTAGCTGTGTTTTTCTACTAGATAAAGTCTCATAGTAGCTATTTCTACCTTTGCACTTTTCTTTAACATAGAAGGAGCCCCTGATTCTGTGGTTCTTAGATTTTTTTTCCCCCCCGTCTGTCTACTGCGATTTCTTTCAGTGTAGACTGCCTTAAAAGACATGAAGTGAATTGGTGCTGCATGGCATCAATAAACTGAAGTGAATTGAATTTGAGGTCAGTCATTTTGATCAATTCAATAACCATTGTTACCATCATGCACCTAGTTCAGGGGTCAGCAACCATATGGGACCAAAAAAACAAAAAACAGATCCGCCTGGAGCCGCAATAAGAGTAAAAGTCTTATATAAGCCTCCAAGGGCTCTAAGTGTATATAAGCCCATTATCTAAATGACTAAGTAGGCTTCAATACAATATAAGCATTAATGATTAAATGTTTATATTTCCAGCAGCGCATCCTGGAGAAAATGACCCCATATATCTAATCTGCTGTACAACATTTGCTGCTCTAGGTTTAACTTCCATCACAGTATTAAAGTATTATTTGGAATTAATGGAATTGTAGAAATAAGATAAAGAAATCCAATTTTGATGTTATATTTATTTTGAGGATTGGAAAAAAAAATAAATGTGCATAATAGGACTTCTCTAATTTCAAACCTTCGTGTGGAAATAAAATGCTGTCATCTTCAAACCGCAGTAACAACACAATCCTTTCTTTTCCCCTCCTTATCGGAGCAACAGTGCAATAAAACACAGCCTGCAACAAGCAGCCTTTTAAAGAGTTAAATAGGGTATGGAAACAAAATAAGCAGATATATTTTAATTACAGCGCCCACCGGTTTGTTTACAACAGCCACCTGCCTAGCGATGGCTGTTCTTTTTTGATAGAAATGTTTACATTTATTGTTTACATTCTTTATTATACAAATAGCAATGGAAACATAATGAATGTTTGTTTGTCTTCCTACACACTATATTAAAAGAAAGAAAGAAACAAAAATAATCCATATTTTTCCTTTTTCATACATGTTGAAAAGTGAGCCGCTAGAGGGGCTATAAAGAGACGCATGTGACTCTGGTGCCGCGGGTTGCCGACCCCAAACCTAGTTGAAAAAAATCCCACTGAAATGTAGCGCACAGTCATGCAAATTCAGTTTATGTGTTAGAGACAAAAAACACTTCCATTATGCCAGGGTTTTAAGAGAAAACGTTAAATCAACCAATGCCGGAGAAAGGGCAGGGGCCTCTATTCAGGCTCCCCATGATGCTGAAAGGGACTATTTTTCAATAATTAACCGGAGCAGTCTCAGCTCACCATAGGAGCTCCTCGTCTACCAATAATGGCTGGTGGTGGTTTGAGGACATGACGGTCCATAATACAGGGGCAGGTGAAGGTAAGAGGAGCAAGGCAGAGAGCCAGAAGGACTATGATGAAGACTGCCAACACCATCCCCTGAAAATCTGAAAAAAAAAGGAGTAACAGAATAAGTGTTAATAAAGTTAAGAGTCAGTTAATTAGGTGATGTCAGTATTTTTCAGGAAAATAAATAAATCAGTTGGGTTTGTACAATTAGAAAGTACAACATGCCGTATGTAATAATAGCCCAAACACTGAAAAAAACCAAAGGCTGGATTATTCCAAGTATTCACTAAATGTCAGGTCAACACTCACTGGATCTCTCTTTGCGAACGACATAGCCGGCCACCAGCCAGCTGACAGCTGTGACAGTGACCAGGCCTCCGATGTGCAGGAAAGGGGCAGTGAACTGGCAATAAGGAAGAGATTTATATGACAGCTTTTAGTCATCAGAAAATGGCAGATGGTTTTCTAAACCAATCTAAAATATGTGCTTGATACTGAGATACTTATGAAATTTGAATATCTTATGTGCCGTTGAACTGATACTTTATGAAAAATACATCTTGTTATTAAATATTACAGAAAGTCATGAAAGGCGAAATGGCCTCTTTTGACAACAAAATCAGCAGCTGTAGAGGTCGATTTAAGATGTTAACAAAACACACATGTGACATGTAGCTCACCTGGGCTTGCGTCCATAAATAGTATGTGGAAGACTATGTTCAGTCTCCTGTGTGTTAGGAATCCAGTTTGTGTTTGTTGTTTTTGTGTTTTTCTCTCTCCACCACCAGGTGGTGCCCTGTTCCTCGTTGGGCCTCCCTGCACACCTGCAGTTGGATCATTACCGGAGGAGTATTTGAGCAGCGGGCTGTCACTACCTCAACGCCAGAGTGTTTGCCAGTTTTGGGTACTCTAGCCAAACTGAGATTAGCTGAGTCTAACCGAAGCTTTGTTTCTCTGAGTCTAATCTTGTTTTTGTCTTTGCTCTTCGGCAGGGAGTCTGTTCCTGAGTAACTGGATAACCTGGACCTTCTCCCCCTGGAAGGATTACTGAGTACACACTGAGCAGGGGTTAACATCCACATGATCCGTTGAAGTCCTCATCGGAAAACCACGTGGCAGTCCGCTCCTTTACTCCTCTGAGTCCAACGTATGTCTACCTGTTCACTCTCCAATGAGTTCCCTCTCCTCTGGATTAATTCCCCACAAACTGGATTCAAGGATTAACAAGAGCCCCCTCAAACGTGAGTTTCTCTCCAGCTATTTTCAAGCCTCAGTCAACTTTTCTATGGTCCCTGAACTGATCAGTGTGACATCTCCTTCAGTCTTTCCAGTTCCGGTTCACCAGTCCTCTGAGTTTCAGCTCCTACTTCTGTGTTTCATCAACATTCAATAAACCTGTTAAACTTTTTTTTCCCCTTGGTCTCTGAGTGGTTCTCTGCATGTGGGTCAGATTGCTTAAACCAATTATGACACTGTGGTCTTCTCGCTGTGGAAGAAGTTCCGATTGACCAGTGTGAGAGGCAGTCATCCAGGAATTCATAGAACTATAATTACAACCTAAGTTATGTTCTGTGGTGGGATTTAACTACGTACAAATATTTCATTACTGTAGTTAAAGGTATAGTGAACAATCTTTTTTTCCAGGTGGACCATCTAAATAAGTGGTCCACCTAATTGTCATTCATTCTGGTGATATGTTTACATAAAGCCGTCCTACGTGCTCGTCCCGTTAGCTATCTTTTCTGCGCATGCGCACTTTCCGGCGTATATCTGTGGTGAGCTATGGTTTCAAACAGTCATTGAAGCTCACCTTTCTCAATGAAGAGAACTCTTCTCACATAGCATTATGGGATTTGCTGTCACAGCGGCCCGCTGTAGCACTTGGCTGCTGTCATAGCCTGCCGCTACCCGACAGTGGCAACTAATTACCAAGATGGCACAGGCACTGCACAGTGGACAAACGGAGTAGTGATCCTCTTTCCGAAATGTAAGATAACTGAGTTCACTATAAAGTCCACAATATAGTCCTCGTTCTTTATAGTGAGTAAGGGATTTAGGGATTAGGGTGGATGTTCAGACACAGTAAGCTTGTATGAGCTATGAGAACAGCACCTTTTAAACAGAGCGTACACGAGGAGAAATGGGCTCATTCATGCTCTCGCAAGCGCTTTTTTTAAGTGGAGAGGACGGGTCTTTTAAAACCCTGGAAAGGCTTGCACATCCACACTGCTCCCGGTCCGTGGGGTGGTGCATCAGTAGTAACCCCCTTGTGTCTTGCGGTAACCACACCAAGAGGGATTCCGTGCTGCAGACAGGCTCTGTCCGCCAACGACGGAACAGCAATGCACGGCCGGGAGTCATGGGCGGCAATGAGGGGAATGGAGGCGCCGCTGGGGCCCTGCGGAAAAAGGGATTTCCGACAGGACGGGATGCTGGAGCATCAACCAGGTCCATTCTGGCCAAGGCTGCCATGATAATTGCGTGCAGCTGACATGGGTCCTCCCCTGGGTCAGAGCAAACTGAACTCCTCAGGGAATTTCCTGAACAATCCTTACCTCCCAAACTCCTGATCACAAACATCTGGGAAGGGTTCTCCTTGCTCCCCAAGGAACTGGAACTTAGAATTTAAGCCCTCAAGGAGATTCCATCCTCCTGCAGATCCTCCCCTGATTCCTAGGACGCCGCTCTTTTTTGGGGAACTGAAGTGGGGACTGGAACCTTGAGTAAGGCTTTGAGCTGCTCACCTCGGCCTTCAGTGGATCCACTTCCTAGTGAGATGTGTGCTTCTGCCGAGATGGGCGGTCCAGCTAAGGCCTTCATTTCTGCAGACTATGGCACTCTTAGCTGGAGCATCCCCTCGCCTCCCGGAACACAGTTGAAGTGCACCTCAGGGTGCCAGCTCAGCCGCAAAAAGCAGATTCTACACCTGACGTAGCCTGTCCTCCCTGACAGACAACGACAGGATGCTGCAGTTCATGCATGGATCAGTCAGAGCTTCTCTGAGATTACCCCCCCCTAAGCATTTAGGACACAGATCATGACTATCCTTTTCCTGGAGGGAGATTCCACGAGAGATGCATGCCAGCATCCCACATTAGAAATGAGGGGCAGCAGCAGGCCCATTAGAGTGGACTTCAATAAAACTGAAGAACACGATCAATATATTGTGAGCACATGCCTGCATGTGGGGCTACTGACCAAACAGAGTGAGACTTCAAAAAGGGCTGAAGAACGCCTTCTTCAGCGCGATATCAAAGGGGAATGGAAGCGTCAGCAGCTAACAAACAATGAAAGCCAGAAGCTGATGCTAGCCGTCTGCTCTACTACAACTAACCGACAAAACATCAACCACAGCCTTAGAGGGCTACCAAGAGCACTATGACTAACAAGTCACAGGCAGGATGACGCTGTACTCTTACCCCTTAGACCTGCAAATACCAATAAGTTCTGAATCACTGACTTATAGGAGCAATCACCTGCGAAACACGCCAAGCTGACAGCGAGAAGATCAAAGAGACCAAACGTAGCCTTCAAATGGCTATTTATAGACGCACGCCCAGGTGAGCTACGTGTCACGTGCGTGACTTTGTTTGCATTTTATCTTGACCTGGGCAGAGTGCGAGGAGACATATACACCTTGTTAATTGTTATTGCCACTGGCAGTCAGGAAGGAATGAAACAGAACAGCTTTATTAAAGTCTCTTAAAAAGATATAATTCCTATAAATCTGAGGATGTATTAACAGTGGCTTAAAGAAAAAGAAACAACTTTGGTTTTAGGCCCACCTGTAGTGAAATATGAATGATTTCCCACTCATCTCCCCAAATGTCGTCCACAGAGACAAAACCAGAGACAGTGGTGAGTAGCGTAGCCAATACTCCGATCTGTACAGACGAAGGATAAAAAGAAACCGTTATTCCAGAGTTCAAATATGGGATATCTAACAATTAAGGAAAATCATACAGCACCTTATGAACCCAGTATAGGTTCAGTTGTTGACCCAGTGATATGTGGAAAAGTGCCAAAATCTGAAAGAATAAAGCAGGGCCCAATCCACCATTTGTCAATCACGTGGTCTCTTGATTAAAGGGTTTGGATAAAAAAAAATAACTAAAAAAACTATTACCAAGAGGAATGTGATATAGCTGAGTCCCACAGTGGTTGAGGTGAGAATGGGGACGGTCTCGTCCCTCCATTCCCCAGAATGATTGTAGACGGACCTGTGGTACGAACAAATAAAGTTCAGCTGTCTAAGGAGGGGCTCCGATAAAACAACTAAAAAAAAAATAAGCATCATTATTTTAAGGCTAGCATCATTTCCTGGATTCCAGTGACTGAAATCAACCTTTAGACCAAATTCATGTGCTGGTCCTTAGCATGAAGAGAAATATGGCACACCATTTTGACATTTATTTCCTTGACTGAATATCTAATTCAGATATCTTAAATGTAATTCTTATTAATGCAAATTAAATCACATTTCCTATTCATGTGTATTGGGCTTTATCTAAAATAACTTTCCTCTAATCTAAATGAACATTCCA